TTCTTTATGTCTTTTTTTATTTTTTGTTTTTTTGCATTAAAGGAGGTGAGGGCCTCCGGTATAATGTCAAATGAAATATTTGGCATTTGCCTGATCTCAGCATTGACTATTTCATTATTGAGTATGATTTTTTTTATAGATGCCCTATATCAAGGGTCCCCAGCCCCTGGGCCATGTATTAGTACTGGTCCCTGGCCTGTTAGGAACCAGTTTGCACAGCGAGAGGTGAGCTACAGGTGAACGGAAATCGCAGATCAATGGTGGCATTAGATTCTTATAGGAGCACAAACCCTATTGTGAACTGTGCATGTGAGGGATCTAGGTTGTGCGCTCCTTAAGAGAATCTAATGTCTGATGATCTCAGGTGGTACTGAGGCAGTGATGCTAGAGCTGGGAAATAGCTGCAAATACAGATTAACACTAGTGAGGTTTGACTGTACATGCCCTTCACCCCTTCCCCATCTGTGGAAAATTTGTCTTCCACAAAGCCAGTCTCTGATGCCAAAAAGGTTGGGTACTTCTGCTCCATATCAGACTCAGGCAGTCCATTTTTCTTCCTAATTTGCTGAGAATTGTTTTTGTGAGTATTGAATTTTGTCAAGTGGGTTTTCAGCATCTATTCAAAGGATCATTTGGATTTTTTCCCCTTTATTTTGTTAATTCAGTGAATTACATTTTTGTTGTTGTTGTTGTTGTTTGAGTTGGAGTCTCACTCTGTCACCCAGACTGGAGTGCAGTGGCCGCTCTCAGCCACCTCAGCCTCGACCTGCTGGGCTCTGGCAATCCTTCTGCCTCAGCCTTCCAAGTAGCTGGAACTACAGATGCGCGCTACCACGCCCAGCTGATTTTTTGATTTATTGTAGAGATGAGGTCTCGCCTTCCCAGGTGGGTTTTGAACCAACGGGCTCAGGCAATCCACTCACCTCAGCCTCCCAAAGGCACGGGATTACAGGCTGAGCCACCGAGCCCGGCTTGTGAATTACATTTTTAACTGTTTAATCAGCCTTGTATTCCTGGAATAAACCTCATCTAGCTAATTTTTGTGATTTTTATTGTAGAAGCAAGGTCTCACCAAGTTGCCCAGGCTGCCGGCTAATTTTTTAAAAAGTTTTTGTAGCTACAGAGTCTCACTGTGTTGCAAAGGCTGGTCTCAAACATCTGGCCACAAGTAATCCTCTCACCTCAGCTTCCCTGAGTGCTGAGATTACAGGTGTGAGCCACCATGCCAGACCCGTTGTGACTATTCTTGACAAAGTCATTCTACAGCTTAGGCTTTGATGTTTATACAGGAGTGAGTTTTCCTCTGGGGATTGGGTTTACTGGAAATAGCAACATCTTCCCATTTAAAGGGACCCTCTTTGTCCCTGAGATGGCGACAACATTAGATGCCTATTCTATCTCTGTGATTACAGACTCAGATCACTCTGTGAGTAATTGCCTTGAGATTTGTAGGTTTTAGACAAGAAACTTTCTAGTTCTTAGTTTCTAGTGTTTTTCTCAGTGTTTCTAGAAATAGAAAACATTCATAAATAAATATGACTTCTAATCCTCTGATTTCATATTGATCTAATAGGATGACAAATTAGTTGTGAACACCACATGGGTCATACGTTTTTCTTCCTAAGTCATTTGTCTTTTTGGTTTTCATTGGTTGATTACTACTCTGGGCCCATTTTCCTTTTGGGAAAGGCTTGGCCTTTTCTTTATGAGTCGTCCTGATACTTCTTAATTTTGACTACCAACAGGTTGTTAGTTTGTTGACCAAAACTGCCCTGCAGGAGTTCCTCTTGATTCTGATTAAAGGTTTTCATTCCACAATGGAACACAGGCTAAAGAGTAACAAGGGATGGAAAGACTCTTCCCAGTTGTGAAAGTGTTGACTCTAATAGATTGGAAATGGATTGTTAAGCTATTTCAGTAAACAAAAATGGTGTGATTACAACTTCTTGCCTGAGAAAGCTCTCAGCTGTTTGCACTAAGTTTTTACCTTGTGTGTTTTTGTGTGTGTGTGTGTGTGTGTGTTTAGAGACAGGGTCTTGCTTTATTGTCTAGGCTGGAGTGTGGTGGTGTGGTCATAACTCAGTGTAGCCTAGAGCTTCTGTCCTCAAGCAGTCTTCCTGCTTTGGCCTTCAAAAGTGCTGGGGTTACAGGTGTGAGCCACAATGCCTGACCAGATTTTTATCTTTAATGTGGCTTAATATTATCCACAAGGTTTGTTTTGGCCTTTTTGCCAGGAGGCCAATGTGGCTCAAGGTGGCCACCACTTCCTCTAGAAAATTGCTGGGGTATGGGGCTTCAGTCAGTTCTCTCTTGTGACCCAAATCAGGGAAGAGGTAGCCACCCTGCTGAGGCTACCTTTTAGAATAAATTATTCTAGAGTTCTCCCTCTATTTTCACTATGTTTTTTAAAACATAATAGTAGAGGGATAAACTGGTCCAGTCCAGAATCAGAGCAGGTCAAAACTCCCATCCGATCAGTAATGGGATAATGTCGGTAAATAGCCACTGCACTCTAGCCTGGGCAATAGAACAAGACCGTGTCTCTATTAAAAATAAATAGGCTGGGTACAGTGGTTCAAGCCTGTAATCCCACCATTTTGGGAGGCAAGAGGATTGCCTGAGCTCAGGGGTTCGAGACCAGCCTAGGCAACTTGGTGAGACTTGTCTCTACAATAAATCAAAAAATTAGCTGAGCATGGTGGTGCACACCTGTAGTTCCAGCAACTTGGAAGACTGAAGCAGAAGGATCGCCTGAGCCCAGTAGGTTGAGGCTGTGGTGGTGGCCATGAACTTGCCACTGCACTCCAGCCTGGGCGACAGAGTGAGACTCCGACTCAAAAACAGCAACAAGTAAATTAAGAACATAGCCAGGCTGGGTTCGGTGGCTCAGCCTGTAATCCCGCGCTTTGGGAGGCTGAGGTGAGTGAATTGCCTGAGCCCGTGGGTTCAAGACCTGCCTGGGCAACTTGGCGAGACCTCATCTCTACAATAAATCAAAAAATTAGCCGGGTGTGGTAGCACGCACCTGTAGTTCCAGCTACTTGGAAGGCTGAGGCGGAAGGCTCCCCGGAGCCCAGCAAGGCTCCCCGGAGGCCAACGAGGCTGCGTTGGCCAGGAGCGGCCACTGCACTCTAATCTGGGTGACAGAGTGAGACTCCAACTCAAAAAAAAAAAAAAAAAAAGAACATAGTCAAAAGCTATGTTCAAGCAGTTAAAGTAAAGTTTAAACAGAATGTCTTGTCTCTGTTTTTATTTTGTGATAGTGGACTGTTGGGGATAAATAGTTTCGTTATAGACACAGTTAGAAGTATCAACTATAATTCAGGAAACCTAGACCCTAAAGTCTACATGGGCCTCAACAAGAAATTACTGTGGCAACATGTATGGGTCAGATGCCTCTTACGTTGTGTGGAAGGGAAGTGGGGACCCCCATACCAACTGAAATAAGCTGTCTTGAGTCCTTGGTTTTTTTTCTAGATGTACCTAACCTGTAGGATAGAAAGGCACTCACTTACTGCATAGCTTTTGACACCAATTATGTCCTGGGATATGTTCTTGCTTAGTAGGGATGCACTTTTCAGAAGCGACAAGCTCCAGGATTAGGAATTACATGTTCATCACTATGTGTTTTTCTCTCCTGCAGTTCTTATCTGTGGACCAAGCACATACTACCTTACAGGTCCTTGGTAGTTCATGTTTAGGAACTCAGTCAAGTGAGCAAAGTACCAAGGTTCTGTGTGTTTACTTGGTTCCCTGGCCTTAAGTAGACTGCTAGTTTCTCCTTGTTTCAGTAGCACCCTGATGGTATGTAGCACTTTCTTTGGGAAGCCTAATCTAGGGCTGCAAATAATCCCAATATTCAGTGATCTTGCTCTAGTCTTAACTTACAGTGTTTTGTTTTTGTAACTAGCTTACTTTCCAGTTAGCAAGATTTTATAGCTATAACATGTAGATGCTTTCTTACTGCTTTCTTCCTTAATCTAACATTCAAATGTGAACTTGTAAGCCAGGTGCAATGATGTGTGCCTGTAGTCCCAGCTACTTGGGAAGTCTCAGGCAGGAGGATCACTTGAGTTCTCATCTATAATGTGTGATGATCATGCCTGTGAATAGCCACTGCAGTCCAGCTGGGCAACGTACTAAGACTCAGTCTCTAAAAAAAAAAGTCAACTTTTTTCTGTGTCAAACATCTACAACATCGTTTTTAATAGCTACATAGTAGTCCATTGCATGAATCTGTCATATATTATTTGTCTAGCTTGTTTTTATTGGACATTTAGAATTATTTCTATATTTTTTTACTATTATGAGTAGCCCTGTGGTACACATATCCTCTGTCATTTCCTCAGGAGGAATTTGCAGAAGTAGAATTGCTAACTCAGAGCACTTTAATGAGGTTTTTTGATAGCCATAACCATGTGCTTGAAATGTCCCCTAAGAGAATGTAGGAGCTAGAAAGGCTGTCCACACACTTCTAAACATTTCTTGCTGTTAGGACTTTTTGATTGCTGATAATTCAGTAATTTTAAAACTGGTTTTGGGTGTTTTTTGTTTGATTTGGTTTTTTGGGATTTATGCAAGAAGTCCAGGCCTGGAAATCTTCTTCAAGTAACAGACCTAACTAGAGGTCCACTTCCTGTGCATGGCCTCTTATAGCAGCATGAGGGAATATATATCACATTAGGAGCCTGTAGCTCTTTTGCTTATATTGGGCGCCAGGTTGGTATTTACTGTAGAAGAATCATTTTGCTTAAGTTTCAAATGAAACCAATTTTCTTGTAAGGATCATGAATGAAAACAAAGATGGAAAATCAAGAAAGCCATGAAATTACTAAGATTGTAAGAGTCTGAGCATAAAAGACAAAGCAGAAAACCAAGAGGAGGAGGAGTTTGATAATCAAGCTTAGGCATGGTATAGATATAAATATACATGTATTTCTCAAAATGTGGAAACTTAAGAGAAACTACAGTAATAATTTGATTTTTTCCCTTCTTTTTAGGTATCTCATTCAGTTGCTAAACTTATATTAGTTAATTTCCACTGGCAAGTCTCAGAGATATTGGACAGGTAAGGTGTTTGGGGGAGGGGAGATGACTTTGTCCATAGCTCCCCTCTCTGCCCACCCACAAGTGGTGATTACTGCTTACATTTTGAACTATATTCTTTCAGTGTGCACATTACATTTTTAAAACACTGGATCATATATATATATTTTGACTTATTGTAGTGATGAGGTCTCGCCAAGTTGCTCAAGCTGGTCTTGAACCCATGGACTCAGGCAGTCCTCTCACCTCGGCCTCCCAATGTACTGGGACTGCAGGCTTGAGACACTGTTTCCGGTGCCACTGGGTCATATTTTACATCCTCTTCTCAACATATTGTGAACATGTTCCCACTTTTTCAGTATATTCTTCCACCTCTTTTAATGCTAGCACAGTATTTTGTTATATAGATACTCCATACTTTTTCCAAACCCCTGTTGTTGGACAGTGAAGTCAATTCAAATTTTCTGTGCCATTGTTAATTTTTAATCACTGCCTTTCTAGATAACACTTACCAACATCTCCAGTTACTTCTTTTAGGTACATCAAATAAGGAATGCATCATAATACATGGCATACCTTCAGTTTTCATTTTTCTTTTTGAGTCAGAATCTCACTCTGTCACCCAGGCTGGAGTGCAGTGGTGTGCTCACGGCCACCACAACCTTGTCCTGTTGGGCTCAGGCAATCCTTCTGCCTTAGCCTTCCAAGTAACTGGAACCACAGGCATGTGCCACCATGCCCAGCTGATTTTTTTGATTTATTGTAGAGACAAGATCTCGCAATGTTGCCCAGGCTGGTCTCAAGCCTATGGACTCAAGCAATCCTCTTGTCTCTGCTTCCCAAAGTGCTGGGATTACAGCTGTGAGCCACCACGCCTAACTTGTCTTCACTTTTGTGTGTGTGTGTGGTTTGAGTTGGGACCTCACTGTGTCACCCAGGCTAGAAGACTGGAGGGCACAGTAGCGCCATCATGACTCACTATAGTGTGGAACTCCAAGGCTCAAGCAGTCCTCCTGCCTCAGCCTCTGGAGTAGCTGGGACTATAGGTGCATGCCACTATGCTTAGCTAATTTAAAAAAAAATTTTTTTTTGGTAGAGATGAATGAAGTCTTGTTAGGTTGCCCAAGTGGCATATTGCCTTTATTTTATTTTTTTACTTTTTTTATTTTTGAGTTGGAATCTCACTCTGTTGCCCAGGCTGGAGTGCAGTGGCATGCCATGACCACTGTAACCTTGACCTGCTGAGCTCAGGTGATCCTTCTACCTCAGCCTTCTAAGTAGCGGGAACCATAGGCATATGCCACCATGCTCGACTAATTATTTTAATTTATTGTAGAGAAGAGACAAGTTCTCACCATATCGCCATGTTGCTCAAACCCCTGAGCTCAGGAATCCTCTCACCTCTACCTCCCAAAGTGCTGGGATTGTAGGTGTGAGCCACCACGCCCAGCTCATATTGCCTTTAGAAAAGGTGCTTTACCATCCACCACCACCTCTGCCAGCAGGGTATTTGAGTGCTTCTTTCCACCTCTTCCAAAACCAGAGATCTTGAGGCACAGACCTCATAGTGTCTTGGAAGTTATTTGGAGACAGATTCCATCTCCTTCTCTGGTTCCTTTGTAGAGGTCCTCTATGCTTCACCCTCAGAGGCATGTCCCTCTGTCTAGCTCAGGGTTTCTAAACCTTGACACTGTTGACATTTGGGGTTGGATAATTATTTGTTGTGGGGCACTATTTTTTGAATTGTAGGATATTTGGCAGCATCCCTGGGCTCTATCTACTGAAATTCAGTAGAAATGGCACCCTCAAGTCCTCGAGAATCAAAAATGTCTGTAAACATCGTCTAGTAACCCCTGGGGAACAAAACTGTCCCTGATGAGAAACACTGGTTACCATCTCTGCCCTTTCACACTGCTGTGAGTCTTTCTTTCTCCATATGTTGTGATTTTTTTTTTTTTAATTTTTATTTATTTATTTATTTTTTTGAGTTGGAGTCTCACTCTGTCGCCC